GATAAGCTGGGCTGATATTCAATTGTATCTTAAAACTGGCTCATTTCAATGTGGAAAATTCACCTATTACTCCTTACACCACCTCAAGTGAATTACACTTGCATTATCGTTCATTTGCCGATCTTCTAGTTGCATAAACCTCTTTTCTATATCCGCAAAATTTTCATTTCTGATCGACCTTTCCTAGACGATTTTACTTTTACTAAAGGCATGACTTACCTGTCCAGGATAGTCTTGTAGTCCAGTATGCCACAAATAAGTTGGGAAGCATATCTAGAAATAAAAATAGAGAAAAACATACAAATATTATTGAGTTAATTACATATTCGTTAGACTGTTATGCGTGCAAAATCTTCAGTTAAAGTCACCTTCATCAATAAATAAATTAGATTATTATCCTAACGTAATTAATAGTGTTGTCGACTTGACAAACGATGAGATATATACTCGGCTTATGCTGTTTGTCCAACCTACACCGTGTCCGCTTCGTGTCAGTCGAGCAAATGGCCAAAGGCAACTTATCTCACAGCGGCGTACTTTTCAAAAGCGCACTAGCCCACCACTTTTTCCCTGTCACGAGGGCTCTACACGCGCACACGCATCTAGCAGAGGTGGCTTCCTCTAGTCGGCCCAGCGGGTCGCGTCGAGCTCAGGATATCGATCATGCCGCAGCCGAAACACGGTCTGCCGAAAATACTGTCCTCGGCACAGCTAGGCCAGGCCCATAAGGTCAAGAGACCAGTTGCAAGCGTTATCTATCGATCCATCTGCCTCACGCACACACTAACTCGCTCTCTCTCTGACTTGTCCCTTTAATGCCCTCACACGGGTCGATATTTACAATTTGAACTCGAAATTTCCTCATCCAATCGCAAGTTTGTTTCAGGCTGAAAAAAGGGCAGAACGAATAAGTTTGGAGAAGGCGGTCTGAAGCGCTTCGCCTTAATGAAGAATAGTCGAGTTTCGAAAAGTGAATCGTGAATCAAACTCACACATTTGAAAGGCACGGATTAGCCAACCAGATCATTGGGTGACTCAATAGGAACGAAAAATCAAGTGTAAGCAGTGAGTAGT